TATTTACTGCTGCTATACTAACGATAGCAAGGGATGCTTGCACACATATTTACTGCTGCTATACTAACGATAGCAAGGGACACTTGCACACATATTTACTATGGCTATACTAATGATAGCAAGGGATGCTTGCACACACATTTACTGCGGCTATACTTACAGCAAGGATATGAAACCAGCTTAAGATAACCATTAACAGATGAATGGATAATGAAAATATGCTGCAGATATGAAAAATTAAGTTATAACAAAAAATGAAATGACATTCTTAAGAAAATGGATGGATCTAGAAAGTATAATATCAAGCAAGGTGGCCCAAACACAGGCTAAAACTGCATGTACTTCCTCTGATGTGGCTCCTAGCCTATAATGTGTACATGTATGTATGCAAAAAGGACAAGGGTTGATAAAGTCTACAGACCTGGAAAAGAGACCAAGAGAGGGCATTATTAGGTGAGGAGGAAGGGTAGGAGTGGGCAGATGGGACACAACAGGGAAAGGAGCAGCAGAGGGGTGGGGGAGATGGGAAAAAGGAGAGCCACAGAAACACAGTCTTCAGAAATGTCATAATGATACTGAACATATTATATGCTGATTAAAAAATTAAAAAGATGAAAAAAATAACCACAACAAACTGGACCACAGAATATAAAGTTTAATAGTAGAAAACCACACTAGTTAACCATATATCTATTCAGAGTCCATGTTTCTCAGAAACGCCAAGGAATTTTTATTAGCATTGAGACAATAAAATTGTACAAATACACATAACCACCAGGACTAGGATAAATTACTATTTCAAGTTCAACATTTTAAACATGTAAAATATGAACAGCTATATCTTCTATACAAAAATATATGATTTGATAATAATGTGCCTCTGGGCAATGCCCACAAAACAATGTCAATTATATCAGCATCTATTACAAAGCCATAAATACATAAAAAATATCAGCAGGCAATAACATTATTCTTTCAAAAGAATGTACAGTACTAGTCATGTCCAGCCCAGCAAGTGGCAGGTTTAAAGTAGCCCTACCTTCAAAATATCTATTTTTAAAAAATTTAGTAATAAAAACTAAGAAGAACAGTGGACTACATGGAACCTTGCCATGGCAACTGAGTGTGTTTGCCCTGTGGCTGGAACATGAAGGTCGGAACCCAGTTAGTGACCTGCAGCGGCACGCGTTAGTCTGGGGACCAGCTGGCACACTTCACCTTTGTGTCTGGTGGGAACACAGAGACAGGCGTTGGGGAGTGAGAGGAACAAGCGTCAGATACGGGGTCAGAGATGACGAAACCCTGGCGTGATTGATGTAGAACTTACTCAGCTACAGAGTCTCACAGTCATCATGAGAGTTCAGTTTGTCAACGGTGCTAAAATCAGACTGGCACACTCTGCCGATCTCCAGAGGCTGGAGAGAAGTTTATTTTCTGCTAAGATGTACTGCTAAGATGATCCCATTCACCCATCTCGTCGTTCCACATGTAGAAAACCAAAAGGTAGTTAGCATCTTTCTGACATTGCCAAGGTGGAAGGCAGAGCTTCTGCCAAGTCAGCCCAGAAGCTTGCCTCCCACTGGGCAAAGTGAGCGGAGACAAACTGCTCAGGCCATTTGGTCTCTGCAGTGACCAGAACCTCAACAGCCTAGGCTAATAGGCAGCAAGCAAGAGTGAAACTCTGTGCCCTTACTTCCCAGAGTCCTATCCTTAAAAGCTTATGTACTTATCTAGGAATTTGTAGATCAAATACTTGATACTTTGGCAAATAGTTTATTCAATACTCTGTAAAATCCTGCTCGGAAGTCTCAGCATGGCGCCGCACCAGCACTGCGGGCCACGAGTTAAGAGAACGCATTGCATGTCCCGGAAAGAAAATGGGAGCGGACTTCTGCTCTCGGAGGTACCCACGGTCGTGTGTTTCCTGTGGAACTCAGTAGAAATGGACTGTGTAGACGTCTCCCAGGATCAGGCCTTGACAGTCCTCTGCGGAGCAATGCGGCAGGGTTTCCACCACTCCTACCGGGGGCCTCCGTACTTCGCCACCCAGTCTGTCCTCCCGTGCACCGAGGGGACTGGCTGTGTGCGGTTCACAATATTGAGATTCTTTGCTGTGGGATTGTAAGTTCGTCCTGAAAACTGGCCTCGGCTAGCTTTTGTGTTCCAGGTGTATTCTGAAAGAAATCAGAATTTCATTTATTTGGTTATCGCATTCAAAATAAAGCCACTCATCTTCATTTTGTAGGGAAGTGTGGATTTATCTTTGAAAGCTGTGGAGCAAATGTGAAGGCTTGCATTTAGTTTTCTTTCTTTTTGTGGGGGGCAGGGAGCAAGTTTTTGCTATGTAGCTCAGACTGGTCTGGAACTCACTATGTAGCCCAGGCTGGCCTCGGTCAAGGTCAGTTCAGCTTTCCTCTCCCAGTACTGAGTACAGGTGTTCACCATCATGCTAGCTAAAGCAAAAACTCTAGTGGAGTATTACACGGATATT